TTAAAATCCTCTCAAGGATTTCCTGTGCCCGGTATACGATCTGTGGCCTCTGCCAGCAAAGTGCACTTGGAAATGAAATGACTCTGGGCAAGGGGAGGGTGCCCCGATGCCCCAAGGCGGCGTTAGGCAAGGCGGGGGGGTGGAGGTCCGCGGTGGAGCCCAGGCTGTTTGTGGGCATCTCTGAGGGGGCGGGCATTAGCTCTAGCAGAGGGCCCCCTCCGCATCAGACCTGAAGCCAGGATAGCTGGCCCAGCCCCGGCCCTGCCGTCTCCCCGCCCCCCGGCCATACTGAGGTGGCCGTGTCCTGGCCTTGGAAACCAGTAGAGCAGGCCCTGGCATGGGATTCCTCCTGCTTCTGCAGCCCTGGAAATGCCCAGCCCGGTCAGAGAGCAGCAGCGTTTAAAAAGGCAGGTTTCTCTTTGCGGATGGAACAAACATGATTCAGCACAAGCAGCGAGTGAGGAACGTGGAGGCCAGCCTCCAGTCAGGCTCCACTCTCTCCCGCCACCTCAGCAGAGGCCCTGCGCTGCACCTGCCGAGCGGGATCCCCACGGAGCCCTCGGAGGCCGGGCACCATGCCACTCCCCTCTCCAAGAACACCACCGCCTGGCGGGCCGCCAGGCCACAGCCGATCCCTATGGACACGGCTCCCAGGAATCCAACCAAATGACAGCACACTCGCCAGATCTCACGACCGTACCAGCCGGCCGGGCAAATAAGCCCCTGGACGCACAGCCCAGATCCAAGCGCTTGCCGAGGACATGCCGTGACAGCGCATCCCCAGCACACGACTCACTCGAGGTTGCAGCAGCTGGTGTTCAACACAAAGGCAGTGGTGGGGTCTCCACCCTCAGGGAGCATGTGACATAGCCTGACAAACAAAATGGACAGAGGGGAAAACTACGTCTGTAGGGACGATTAAATCCACACAGCCTAACCGGCACCCGGATCTCAGAGCCCTGGGCTGACGTGGCTCAGAAGGGTGGCCTTGGAAAGGTAAGGAGCATTCCGCGGAAATGAGGAAATGCATCCCAGGTGGAGAAGAACGAGATCGAGGCTGAGGGTGGGGAACTCCCTGCTCGTTGTCTGGTGGCCTTCCAAGCTGCTCGCCTAAGCAATCCTCTTGGGGGGTTGTCGGAGGAAAAAGCACCCAACCTCCAGGCTCCCAAGGGCCCTCCGCGTGCTCGCCCCTTAGCCAGCCTCCTGGGGCAGCCAGACATCCTCGTTGCTGAGGGTTCCTTTCTGCACTGCTGGTGAGGCTCACGTTCCCAGGGGCCACAGCGTCAGGCTAAGCCTGGCACAGCTCTGCTCAGCGGGGCTGCGCCACACTGAGGGGCAATAAGCCAACCCGACCGGACCCTCTTTATGGGAAAGCAGGGAGGAGGCAGCCACCTCAACCTGGGGTGTCCCGGGGAAACTGAGCCCTTCCTCTGGTGCTCCAGGAAGCTGGCTGATGGCCCAGTCTGGGATCTGGGGACTCAGAGAAACCACTGCTCTGAAGAGATGACACCCCACCTCCCTTGTAGCTCGGCACTTGCCCTCTCTCCATGACTAAAGGTTACTTCTTCCCCAGGGCTCCTTGAAGATGGCAAGTGTGAGCCTAAGACTTAGGAAGCAACATCTGGGGAAGGGTGAGGCCTGCAGGAACGGGGCCGGGGGAGGGGAGAGGAGCGGCCTCTTCTATCCACAGCTGACTTCTTTCATCCCCATGCCGCCCCACACTGCTTCTGAACTTGCAGTGAGCTTTTGACCCGGACTGAGCCCTGGTCAGGTAGACAGAATCTGAAACATCCTGGGCCCGGCCGGAGAAAGGGTATGAGACCCTGCCCGCAGCCCGCCCAGACCCCAAGCAGATTCTCCTGTTTCTTATCATCGTGGCCGGGAGAACGAGTCTTGATTTGCAGAACCAAGGCAATTTCACACACTTTGTAGCATTTGCTCTGCTCAGTACCTCAGATACCCTCTGGGAAACAAGGAAACACCACACAGAGGTTATCAGCTGGGTCCAAGGTCAAAGCAGACTGAGGACCGGAAGGCAAGCTGCCCGAGCTGACCCTTGGCCCCAGGCTCTTACTGAGATGACACGGCTCCTACAGGGAAGGGGGCGGCTCTCTGCTCCTTCCAGGCAGCTGGCAGCTTCCTGGCATCCTGCCGGCACCCCCAGCACAGCTCGGCATCCTTAACATGAAGGAGGCCTCCTGATTCCTCTCTGGCAAGGGACAGGCTCGGACAGGCTGGAGAGTCTCCCATCAGGGAAACCACCCCCCAAATCTCAGGTTGGAAAGAATCCTAGACTCAGAAGCGGCAGCAGCGGCAGCCACCATCCTTCAGCCCACCGTGAATTGCCACACGTGGTCCCGGGGTCTCTAGTTCCACATCCTGAGCCTGTAGCAAGTCATATGGTCGGGGGAGGGGAGGTCCCAGATGGGGGCATATCCTGAACTTGGGGTCTGCGAACCCTCCGAAATACTTGCAAGATTGTGAATGTTGCTGCACTGGTCTGGGAAGAGTGTCTAGAACTCTTTCAGGGCCACAAAAAGCTCACGGACTCAAGGGGGTGAAGAACCACAGGGACTGAGGACCTCCAGCCTCCTCCCCCCCTCGGGCTCTGGGCAGCCACACACGTTGTCAAACACAGGAGCAAGTGCGGACGCCGTGGCTGTTGGGCTGCCACCATCTCTGCCTGTTTCTCTTCATCAACGCCACCCTGCGCCTTGTGGGGCTGTGACAGCATCCCAGCAGGACCAGCCCCTGAGCTCTGCACACCCCGCCTCTGCCCACTGTTACTGATGAGGCCTTGCTGGTCCCCCCCCCGTGCTGAGGCCCCGGGTGTTTGCACCTCTCTCAGTGACTTCTCATTCCCTTTCTGAACATCACCACCTCCAGCCTAGAGGAGGAAACTGGAAAGGAAAATATGATTTAGGAGAAAGCCACTTCAGTGCACAGCACAGATGCAGCTCTACGTTCCTCCAAACAGCCTCAGGGTCCTAAAAAACCACCTCTTGGTTTCTCACAGACATTTGGACAGCCGGGGCTCCCCTCCCACACCGCCCAGGGCCCACCGCCACTTCCTGGAGGGGCCCTGATCTGCAAGTTCTAGGCAACACAGCTCTCCACGCGCCTTGGGCAGGCCCGTCTCTGGCTTCAGAGAGGCCCACAGACCTTACCCAGAGGTCAGGAAAGCCCAGCACATGGCTGGAACTGGAGGGCAAGTTATGTTGCTGCTTTCACAGAAAAGGGTGAGCCTGGCTAACCTCTGCCCTCCATCAGCCCTCGCAGTCCTGCCACTGAGAAGGGTGTCAGGACACCAACAAGGCACTATCTCTCCAGAAATGCTCTCTGTCTCAGGGACCCTGTGGGGGGGTCCGAAACGAGCTTCCCCAGGATGTGGAATCACACTCAGCCTCGAGGGTCTGCCTCACCCCGCAGGCCCCAGCGGACCGACTGGCGGCACTGTGCTCTTTCACCCTCCCAGAAGGGCTTGTCTGGACCTCCACCGTCAGCCCCTCCACGGTCCTGAATCCTCCAAAGCACCCACCCCGGTGCGAGGGAACAGCACATGATCAGAAAAACCTTCTCACTGTCTGGTGTGCAAATGGATATGATGGTCTGGAAAATCCATTATGCCGTTTGAAAGCAAAATAGTTTCCACAGAGACCATACACTGGTTTCCAGTTTTTTGAAAGACAAAGAAATACACACCAAGAAAGTTATGTGGTGTGGAATGTCATCTTTCTTTGATGACTGGGCTCAAGAGAAGGCACCTGGGGATCCAGTGGCATCTCAGGCAGCCTTCCGGACGCTGTTTGGGAAAGTGGAGGCCAGAGCAGAAGCCTCTGCTTCCCTCTCCCTGTACAGCACACACCTTGGGAACATACACTCCAGGGTAACCCACACCACATATAAAGGGGGTTGGGGGTCTGCTGCAGACTCCAGGAGGGATGTGGGTCTGATTCGATTTTGGAAGCTCCTCCCGGGAAGGTTCTCCTACAGCCTCTCTCATCAGTGATGGAAGAACTTCAGAAAGGCCACCCGAGAGGCCCCCTCCCCCATCCCCTCCGGACTCCACCACTAACGGGGTCAATCTAGCAAGAATACGGGCTTGGACTCAGCTACCCTCACAAAGCCCCGCCAAGACAACCTCCGGGGATGCAGGAGGTGCACCCTCCTGCCTTTCTGCGACTCCACAAAATCCACGGAGCAGGCCGCCCCCTCCCTCAAAAGAAAGTGAGGAAGGAAAAAAGCCAAAGACAGGTGGGGGACAGCGTCAGCCCCATGGCAGCCCCAAAGCAGAGGAGACCAGCCAGATGTGCAAGGACGGTCCCTAACCAGCGGGGCAGGGACGGGAACAGGCTGAAGGCAGAGTGCAAGCAGCCTCCTGAAGTCCCTGCAGATAGTCACGCAGGAACCCAGTCCAGCCCCCCCCGCCCCCCTCCACTGCTCCGCGGGGGCCCCCGGCTGAGCGCCTGCCAAAGTTAGTCACAGGAGAGAAAACCTTGTCGCCCACCCGAACCGCCATCCGGGACGCCTCTTCTCCAGGAGGCCTCCCGGGTGGGCAAAGCCCCTGGGGACTGGCATCTATCTCACCAGCCCCAGGGCTGCGCCCTTGGACGCCCCCTGGGGAAGCTGACGACTGCGCATTCCTTGAGGACCCTTGACGGGGGTGACTGCCGGCGGGTAGAGGGGAAGAAAAGCGCCTCGGCCGAGGCAGGCATCCCCTCCCACGAACCGTCCCCCGGACCAGCCTCCTCCTCCTTCAGTCCTTGCCTGCGGAGGACTGAAGCGGGGACATTATTCCAACAGGTCCCCCTCAGCCGGGCCTCACCGGGCCAGCCTTCCTCCGCCCTGTCCTGAGGCCTCGAATTCAGGGGCAGCGTCGAGGCACCTGCGGCGAGACCGGGCTCCATCCCCGCGAGCAGGGGCCCGGGCGGTGCCCCTCGGCGCTCCGGGGCCTCTGCGGGAAGGGGCGGGGCACCCCCGCGCCCCCTCCCGGCGCTCACCTGGCGCAGGTGCTGCAGCAGCGTCCCCGCCTCCTCCCGCCGGCCCTGGCGCACCATCCGCAGCAGCTCCTGGACCATGCCGACGCGCCGGTGGTAGGGGGGCAGCCCCGAGCCGGCGCCCGCGCGCCCCGCCTTGTCCCCGGCGCGCAGCAGCAGCGACGCCCAGAAGTCGGGCCGCTCGCGGCGGGGGCCGGGCGCCGCGCCGGGGCTGGCTCTCTCCGCCAGGCTGCCCTTGGTCTGCCGGGTGCCCATGCCGCCGCCGCCGCCGCCGCCCGCGCTCTCCGCGGCGGGCCGCGACGCCGCGTCCCCGCCGCCGCCCGCCCCTCTGCCGCCCGGCGCGCGCGCCTCCCGGGCGGCAACTTTCGGGGAACTGTTGCGCGCGGGCGGGCGGGGGCGGCGGCGGCGTCCGCGCTCCTCCTCCGCGCTCCCCGGGCGCGCTCCCCCGGCGTTCGCCGCCCGCCCGCCGGCCCCGCCCCGGCCTGGCCGCCCCGCCCCGCCCCCGCCGCCGCGCGCCTCCCAGGCCTCGCGTGCCCCTCTCCTCCCCTCCCCTCCCCGCTCCTCCGCTCCTGCTGGGCCGCCCGGCGCCCCCTCCGTGTGGTCCCCGCGCCGCGCCCCCTGCCGGCTGCCGCGCTGCGCCTCCCGGGCGTTGGCGCGGGGCGAAGGGGGCGGCCGGGGGTTTCCCTCCCGGCCGGCACCACTCTCCCCAGATGCTTCCACGACCGCGCGCGGGTGAGGCCCATAGGAGGGGAGGGGAGGGGAGGGGGCCCGTGCGCTCGGCGACGTGGGGAAGGTTTGGAGCATGGAAGCTGTGGGGTGGGGGGGCGGGTCTCAGCCCCGGAGTCGGGTTTCTCAAAGCGGGCGCCGCTGAGCATCAGAGCCCAAGTCGTCCGAGGGCTGGTTGAGAACGTAGACTCCCGGGCCTCGCCCCAGACCCGCCCGATGAGAGTTTCCGCGGCGGGGCCTGGCGAGCTGCATTTTTAGCCAGCCTCTCGGCTGATTCTGACGGACACTCCTTTGAGACTCGGCCAGTGGCGGCGGGCGGCGGGCGGCGGGCGGTGGTGCATGAACCAGAAACCAGGTGCAAGGCTGCGTGTTGTGTGCGTGTTCTTTTAGGGAGAGCCCATTGCTGGCATCAGTCAGTGTCAAAGGGTTTGGACCATCCAGGTGCAAAGAACAGCTGTCTTGTCTTGCTCTCGCTCTCACACCTCTGGAGAAGGGGCCTGGGGGTAACCCCCGTGCGAAAAAGCAGAAGCATGCCTGCAAGCAGCCCCACGGCACGTTCCTACCGTCCCCTCCCTTCCTGGCTCCACGCCAGACCAGCCCTCACCCCCTTGGTGCGGCAGATCCCCCGGGGTCAGACGGTGGTAGGAAAGCTGACCACAGCCCTGCCAGAGAGAAGGCTCAGGCACCTGGGGACCTCCTCTGTCGCGACCCGGACCACCCTGGTCTCAGGGTCACGGCTGCGGGAGGAGCAGCAGTTGTGTCCTTGCCTCTGACCCAGGCCCCGGGTGCTGCTCGGGGGAAAGGACAGCGTGGGATGTAGGGCAGGAGAGTCGGATCCCGAATCAGACAGAGCTGAAGTCCACTGTGTCCTGAGCCCGGAGCGTCAGGCAAGTCCTCAGCTCCCTCCTGTGCCGCGTGGGAGGAGAACACTGTGCCCTGAGCTGGGAGGGTAAGAGGAGGGGTACAGAAACTCCAAGCAGGGTGCACGTGCCCCACAGAGGACTCGCCTCCTCCCACTCTGTGAGTGAACGCTGGGTCAGCCCCCAGTACCTGAAGGGCGGCCTGTGTGTCCCCCAGCTGGCTTCCTCTGCCCTCTGGATGCCCCACTCGCAAGGGCCCACCTCTGCCGGCAGAGAACTCTCAGTCTTCCTGAAGGCTGGCTTCGCAGGGCTGGGCGACACCTTCCAAATTCACCTGCACCCTTTGTGTGTAGAACACACCTGTTGGCATCTCCAGAGAACCCCGGCCAGGAAACACTTCGGTGCCTCTCATCTCTAACCTGCAGGACCACGAGGCAAAGTGGCCTCCAGGAAACGTGCTGACCAGGCCCCTCCCTAGGGACGCTGGGCTCCACTTTCCTGGCAGGTTGGCCGGCGGGAGGGCGTGTGGCTGGAGCAATGCCATCTCAGTGGAAGAGGGCCCAGGCCACCCCCGCTGGGATCTGAGTGCCACCCCCTTCCTCTCCTCCAGAGACCTGGTTCCGTCCTTCTCCTTGCTCTTAATTTCACCCCCAATTTTCCTTCTTTTCTGGCTTGTTCTCAGTATGTAATCTCAAATCTCTTCCATCTATTTAGAAAGGAAACTTGTATTTGCTCCCACCCCTCCGGTTCCCAAGGCCCCATCTCTCTCTTCTCAGCCAAGTTCCTTAGAGATACCTTGTATGTACGTCCATTCATTCCTCACCCACTCCACTTTGGCTTCTGGCCGCACCACGTCACTGAAATGTCTCTTGCCAGTGACCTAGTTGCTAAACTCAGTGACTACTTTCAGTCTTCATCTTCCTTAAGCATCATCTGATCCTGTTGCCTACTCTGTTTTGATGGAAACTGCACTCCCTTGGCCTGTAAGGAACTGCTCTCCTCCAGGCTTCTTTCTTGACGTCCTCTGGGAGCTCCCTTTCTTAGCCGTATCCTTTACTCATTGCTGCTACCCTGGGTGCGGCCCCAGACCTCTTCCTAGGCAATATTTTTTTCTTTAAATTAATTAATTAATTAATTAATTTTGGGTTGCATCGGGTCTTCGTTGCTGCACGCAGGCTTCTCTCTAGTTGCAACGAGCGGGGGCTACTCTTCATTGCAGTGCACGGGCTTCTCATTGTGGTGGCTTCTCTTGTTGCAGAGCACAGGCTCTAGGTGCGCGGGCTTCAGTAGTTGTGGCACACAGGCTTCAGTAGCTGTGGCTCGAGGGCTCTAGAGTGCAGGCTCAGTAGTTGTGGTGCATGGGCTTAGTTGCTCTGCGGCATGTGGCATCTTCCCAGACCAGGGCTCAAACCTGTGTCCCCTGCATTATCAGGCGGATTCTTAACCACTGCGCCACCAGGGAAGCCCTAGGCAATGTTATTTATACTCATGGCTTCATCTGACATGCACACACTGATGACTCTAAGTCTCTCTCTCCAACTCACAAGCTGCTAAGTTAACCTGTCACTGAATCTTGGCTGCTGGCAGAAGACATGACGCTGGGTCAGAGACGCAGGACTTTCTATTCAGGCACCCACAGCACCTAGCGTGAGCATCAGCATATTTGCATCAGTTCCCCTGGCCTCTGAGTCCTGCAGGAGCAGTGTGCTGGGCCCAGAGGGATTCTGCGCACGCAGCGGGTTTGCACCACCAAGGGTGGAGGACACCCAGCTTGGGAATCTACTGCTTATATAGGAAGCTTGTAAGCAAGCCAGGAGGAAACAAACAGCGCTGAGAAGTGGTCCAGATGCAAAGTGGCCAGGTCCTGCCTTCTTGGCACACATGGCGAGATGTGAAGGAGTGAGAGAGGCCCGTGGAGGATTCTCTCTTCCACCAGTGGGTACTTCAGACTCCAAAAAACGAGCACATCTCCTTCCCAACCTGCCTGCCCTGCGACCTGCCCACTCTGGGCTCTGTTTCCTGTGAGTAGCGGCAGCCAGAAACCCTGGAGCCACTGTGCACTCAGGTCTCTGAGCATCTGTGTCTGGTCCCCGAGTCCAGGTGATGGTGCCCAGGGTGGTAGCTCTCATCTGTGTGTTCACTGCGTGCTCCGTCTCGGGCTTTGTGTTCTCCAGTACAGTGCTCTTTCATCCTTTCAACAGCTGTGAGGTCGGTCTTACTATTGTCCTGACTTCACAGCTGAGGAAATGGACTCTGAGAGGTTAGTATGGGCGGGGTGGGGATTCACACTCAGGTCTGCCTACCCTGAAAGCCTAGCTGTGAATATGACTTGATATCATGGACCCTACTGGATACACATTACACGGTACAGCCCCGGCCTTGTGGACGACCTGTCGTTTTCACCCCAACCATTGCGTCACAACAACCTTCTTTCTAACTTGTCTCCCCACCGCCAGTCTTGCCCCTTCTAGTGCATCTTCCGTGGAGCAGCAGGCGTCATCATTCTAAAAGAGGAAACACGGTCACAGTCACACAGACACACACAACCTCTCGCCCTTCAGTGACTTCTATCCCTTTCGGTCCAAACTACTCAACATGCATTGCTGTTCTCCAGGTGCTACACTGTCATCATCCTGTGTTACTTATACCCGTCCCAAGATGCCATATTCCTTTTTTTTTTTTTTTTGGCCATGTCGCACGGCTTGCAGGATCTCAGTTCCCTGACCAGGGATTGAACCCAGGCCACGGCAGTGACAGCTCGGAATCCTAACCACTAGGCCATCCGGGAACTCCCAAGATGCCATCTCCTGTGCCTTTGCACACACTGCATATGTTCCTGGGATGTCGTCCTTCACCTCCTTAACAGATGCCTAGTCCTTCCTCAGGTCTCGGTTGGTTTAGGTATCACCTCCCTCAGGAAGCCTTCCCTGAATGCTTCCCAGGCCTGCCTCCATGTGACTACAATACCCTGTGAATACGACAGCGTATCTTGTTTCTACCGTTCGTTGGCACGTGCTGCTAATCTTCTGCCTGGAGCATCCTTCTTCATCCCTTCATTGGCCAATCCCTCTTCTTCCCTTGCCTCCCACCAGTCGGTTAGGTGTCCATCTCGTGTTTCTCCAGGTCTGACCGCCTGTGCCGATACTGCTGTCGTGGCTGGTGACCTCATCAGGGAGGAGCTCAGCAAACATTTGCTGAACGAAAATCCCGTGGGCCACCCCCCCCCCCACTCCCCGTGCACAGCAGGCACTCAGGAACCAGAGCACTGATATGCCGGTGGGGTGTGTTGACATAGACGACCTTCAGGAAATCCATTCGCAGGCAACTGAGAAGCAAACGGGACAAGAAAGTTGAGAGCGCTAATGTAGCTTGTTCTCTCAAGAAACTTGCTTGTGCATATGGGCTGGTGACCAGAGGGACACGGGGCAGAGAGGCTGCTGCTGTTCCTTGTTGGCGGCTTGTTACAAGGGAGATGGATCATGTACTTAGAGGGAATTTATCCTTTCGGTCATTCTCTTCTACGCAGGTAATTTTTGTAACATGAGAAGCATTGGCCTTTTTTCACCATCAGACTTGCAATTACGGAATTCTCATCATGGTCTTTCTTTGAACACTCACTGCAGTTTCTTCTCCTGTTGTAAGAATTTGAAGTATAAGATGCCTAGTTGAAAATTAAAGCTCTTTCAGATTATATAAATGCTTAAGTAGAAACATCTAATGTATGGATCAAACACTAAATATTTTTATCCACAATTCAAGCTCTTATTGCTGCAATACA